TTATTCTCATTGTCATTATGGCCTCAGGCCTTTTTTATTTATTTATTTTTTTAAAGTTTTTAGTTGTCAATGGATTTTATTTTATTTATATGTGATGCTGAGAATCAAACCCAGTGCCTCACACATGCCAGGCAAATGCTCTACCACTGAGCCACCTGCCTCATGCCTTTTAAAATAATCTTTCTTGGGCTGGGGATGTGGCTCAAGCGGTAGCGTGCTCGCCTGGCATGCGCGGGGCACTGGGTTTGATCCTCAGCACCACATAAAATAAAATAAAGATGTTGTGTCCACCGAAAACTGAAAAATAAATATTAAAAAATTCTCTCTTTCTCTCTCTAAAAAAAAAAAATAATCTTTCTATTGGCTCTTTAATAGAATTTCAGAAAGCAGTGAAGGTAAGTGAATGGGTTGAGTCTGCCCTCCTAAACAAAATTCCCACAGCCTTTGTTCAGTCTTCAGGGACTATCTCAAATGCCTTCTTCCTTGGGAAGTTTTCCTTGCCCTTTCTCAAGATAAAATTAATCTGTCACAGGACAAATATTTATTGAATGTTTCTTACAGGCGTGGCACTGGGTTAGACAAAGGAGAAAAGCCACCATTTCTTGACCTCAGAGGGTTCAGTCTTGTGGGTTAGATAAAACAATAAAGCAAGTCCTTAAAATTCAGTGTGACAAGCTGGGCATGATGGTACATGCCTGTAATCCCAGGGACTCAGGAGGCTGAGGCAGGAGGATCAGAAGTTTGAGACCAGCCTCAGCAATTTAGTGAGATCCTGTCTCAAAATTTAAAAAATTAAAATAAAAAGAGCTAGCAATGTAGCTCAAAGGTAGAGTGGATTTAATCCCCAGTACCCTGCCCCTCTACCCCCAAATTAAGTGAAAATACTAGAGGAAACAACTGTGGCACAGAGGACTGTAAGTACCTAGGTTAATACCATAACCCAATTCAGGGAGGCCAGAAATGCTTCCTAGATAATGGATGTCAGATGAGACTTGAAGGTTAGGGATGAGGTAGGACTTAGCCAGACAAAGAGGAGGAGAGAAGCATTCCAACTTCAGGATATATCCCCTCCAATTCCAAGTGGCAGTAATCCAACTATGTTACTTCATGATCCAGACTCCCAGGAGGCCCCCCAGGGTTCCAACAGCACTTCTCATCCTATACTAGAGTTGTCCCCTCCTTCCCTAACCCAGATTGTGAGCTCTTTGAGAACAAGTCCTGCTCAATTGTTTCTGGCGCTCTCCCTAGTGTTGGGTAGGTCACACTCAGTTCTGTGATTCTCTTTCCTTTACTATCTGGCCCCTCTGGTGGTCCCCAGAATTCAGGGGACTAGGTTGTACTGTGTTGCTGTGAAATGAATCAGAGGACCAGATTCTATAATCCTGTGACAGTGGGATTCCCTGACATCACTCCCCAAAATAGAAAAAAGCAAGGCTTTCTTGCCAGAAAAAGAAACAGTTATTTCCTACCATCTCTTTGGAAACAGAGCAGGGAATAACAGCTCAGGAGAGATGCAGTCTTAGAGGCAACCCTAACCCATTCTCTCCCTGGGGGAATTCAAGTCTCCCAACTCCCTGCATATCAGACTTTCTGCCCAGGCCCAGGGTTCCAGGTAGGCTCCCTCATTGCTCAGTACCAATTTTAGCTCCTAGGTGGTGAATTGAGATTCTCAGACTATTGTTACTAGAAAGGCTCTTGCAAATCATTTAGTTTCACAATTCTCCCTTACTTCCCCCTCCAAGAGACAGAAATACTAAGGCCCAGAGAGAGAGAGAGAGGGCCTGGCTCAAGATCACAAAATGATTCAGAAGCAGAATCTAGACTTGAACCCATGTCTTCCCCTTCCTTGCCTGAAGCTTTTCCACAAACTGCTCTGTGGAGGTGGGTTGTCATAACAACAGTTATTTGGGTGGGAGAAGTGAGGAGGAGAGTTTGCCATTGTTTCCCATACCCACAAATTCCAGACTCTAGCTCTTCACTCAGCCTCTGCCTAGTGGAGCTAAGCAAGAGTGGGGAAGCCAATAGGCAGGGCTGACCTTGGCCTCAAGGGCAGGACTGGCCCCTCCCAAAAAAGGAAAGCAGGGAGAGGGTCAATTGAAGGACAGTTTTTAAAGGGCTTGGACTTGTCCTGCCTCCAGTGAGGCCAAGGGAAATCCCCTGCTCTTCCCCTCGTCCTTCCTGGTTATAACCAGTGGGCAGGGCAGAATGCCTTAAGAGATTAATGACCTCCTGGCCTGAGGGAAGAAAAGAATGGGCTAGGGAGTCCCTTATTCTAGCCCCCAAAAGGTTCTCTCCCCTTCCCAACCATGGGCATTCTTAAGCCCCATGCCAGATGAGTCAAGAATGCAGAGAGACAAATTCAGAAATTAAATGTACCACCTTGAAGTTCATAATCTGGTAGTCCCCAGCAAGTCGGAAAACAGAACCAGAGAAATTAGGTGTGGTTCCAGATGCCCTGTGTGAGTTCAGGCAAGCCCTTAAATATCTCCAAGTATGGGAAAACATCACTTTCCTCATTTCAATAACACAAGACAGGCTTAAAATGTCTGGTACAAGGCAGGTCTCAATGGTAAAGATATAAAATTTGGTCAGGTGATCTGGGTTCAAATCCTGACTTTGCTTTTTATTTTTTGCATGACTTTGGGCAATTACTTAACCTCTCTTGCCTCCTCTATAAAATATCACTTATCTAACAAGGTTGCTGTGAAGATTTGAGAGAATATCATGTAAACCGGATGAAGTGGCATAGGTCTGTAATTGTAGCTACTCAGGAAGCTAAGGGTCACAAATTCCAAGCCAGCCTGGGAATCTTAGCAAGACCCTGACTCAAAATTAAAAAATAAAAAGGGGGCTGGGGATATAGTTCAGTTGGTAGAGTGCTTGTCTTATATGCAAGTTCAATCCCCAGCACCACAAAAATAATAATAACAAAAAATAAATAAACAAAAACGGTTGCGGGGGCTGAGGTTGTGGGTCAGTGGTACAGTGCTTGCCTAGCATGTGTAAGGCACTGTGTTCAATTCTCAGCACCACATTAAAAAATAAATAGAGGCTGGGGATGTGGCTCAAGCGGTAACACGCTCGCCTGGCATGTGCGGGGTGCTGGGTTCGATCCTCAGCACCAATAAAAATAAAATAAATATGTTGTGTCCACCAAAAAGTGAAAAATAAATATTTAAAAATTCTCTCTCTCTCTCTCTAAAAATAAATAAATAAATAAGGGCTGGGTTGTGGCTCAGAGGCAGAGCATTTGCCTTGCATGTGTGAGGCACTAGGTTCAATCCTCAGCACCACATAAAACACAAAATACTGAGTAAATTCAAAATATAGGTATTGTGTCCATCTACAGCTAAAAAATTTTTTAAATTTTAAAAACAAATAAAGGTATTGTGTCCATCTATAAATATATAGGTTGGGGATGTAGCTCAGTAGTAGAGTACTTGCCTTGCACATGTAAAGCCCTGGGTTTAATCCCTGTATGGCAAAAATAAATAAATAAATAAGAGTGGTGTCATAGCAATTTGGGAGGCCAAGGCAGGATGATTCCAAGTTTGAGACCCACTTCAGCAATTTAGCAAGGCCCTAAGCAACTTAGACAGACCCTGTCACAAAATAAAAAGGGCAAGAGGATGTAGCTCAGTGGTAAAGAGCCCCTGTGTTCAATCCCCAGGTACCAAAAAATAAAAATAAAGAGAGATCATCATGGAAGGTGTTCAGCAGGATGCTTAGTACCTAGCATATGTACTTGGTAAAAGTTTTCAAAGCAGGGCAAACTAGGTAGGCTCTTTCTGGACCTTGAACTAAAGTTTGTACAATGAGGCAAAGCTGGGCATTCCTTGAGGTGGTTACAGTCAAGTCCAGCTCTGGAGAATCAGGCACTCACCTCCAACCTTCAAGGACAAGTGCGCACTAGGCATTCAAGTCCTGCCCCCAGGGAACTCCTGACTGCTCCACCCACCAGAATCTCCTAGCTTGTTTTCTCCCAGCAGGTCAGAGTCCTGGCTGGTCTGAGAGCTCTGGGAAGACCTCCTCCCTCTGCTCCCTCCCAGAGCAGTTTGGCAGAGCTGGCACACAGTGGGGCTCCAGGAAGACTTATTAGCTGACAGGCTTACTCTGGGCTCCTGGTTCTGGGCCAGGATTCAGCTGGCAATTCTTCAGTTCCTCAGAACTGGCTGCAAAGTGGTAGCAGGTGTAAATCACGCCTCCTTCACCAGAACCAGATCCTTGGGGAGCATGCTGGGGCCCCAGCTGCCCTCTTGGCTCTGAATCTAGACCTGCAACTCCAGGAGACAGGGGAGGACTGGTGTTTCCTCTTCCTCCCAAGAAGGTATAGATGAGATCCAAATATCCAGTAGCCTAGCGATTGCAGGGGAGGCAACTGAGTCCAAGTGAAGCACTTTCTCTGCTTTGGCCCTAGAAATTTCAAGTATTTTAAGTGCAGCTGGAGAGATGTTAAGGAAAGGGAGATGTTTTCAGTGCCCCTAGTCCAGGCAGTCTGAAGAGGGCAGGGGAGATATACTCTTACCCAAATTTCTTCTGTGCTGAATATTTTCACAAACACTCCAGGCCTCAAAGGAGCCAAACCCTTTCCCAGTTTGTAAGAGGAGAAAATACCTGGTTGCCTCAAATGGGGGCTGGGAGAATAGGTGGCCCCTATGGGGAGAGGACCGAATTTGAAGTGCTAGGTTCTGAGTAGTTTCCAGCCCTTTCCTTTCCTCTCCTAAATTATTTGGTAGGAAAAACTACCCACAGTCCTCAGGACTCATCAAACACTCCACTCATCCTTAGGGGACAATTAATGGACGTCACTCTGCCTCCACCCCAGTGTTTACGGACTGACCTAGGAGGGATCCTGAGGAGTTAAGTGGCGAATTTTTTAACTCCTTCCTTTACAGTCTAACTCTGGGGACGAGAGTAGGTTCCTCTCGACCCTAGGGACTCCGTCCTCCTGGCCTGTGGTGTCCCCACTCACCAGCTCCATCCTTAGCGCCATGATCTTGTCCCCCAGGCCGGGGCTTCTGCTGGTCGCCCCCGGGAGCAACAGCGCGCCAGAGGTTCCGGGCTCCCACTCGCCTCGCAGCCCGCGGAGCAGCCCTTCAGGGGTCTTCCTGCCCACCTTGCCCTCCACGTCTCGCAGGTCAGGTGTCTGGAACTCCACGGTCCCCTCCATACGCTCCCAAGCCTGAACCGGGCTGGGAAGCCAGACGCCAGGGTCCGCTCCCGGGGGTCCTCTTTTTCCGCCGGCTATTACCGAGCGGAACCGGTGGGTCCCCGCCCGCGCGGCGCAGGGGCAGGAGGAGGGCGCCGTAACACTCAGAAAAGCCGCGCGGAGCCGGGGGTAGATATATATTCGAGTGCTGCGCACGCTACCTCTGGCCCTAGATCGCTGGGGCTGGGCGATCCTGGATTTGGTCCTTAAGGAGCGCTAAGAGCTCAGCTCTACTCCTCACCTTACACTGAGTCCAGCTAGGCCCACAGTAGGTGCCCAACAAGTGTTTGCAGAATGAAGACTAAACAACCTCAAATAGATATAGGAGTTTAAAGGATCGTGGTAACAACTGTAGAGATCTGGAAAGCTTACTGAAGTAAATGAGCTGGGTCTAAAAAGGGGTTAGAATTTAGCTAACCACTCACACACACACTCCTCTCATTGGCTAGAATTCAGACCAGTGGAGAGCAACCTGTATTAAAGATGAAGGGTTTCACCCTGCACCGGCTTACCAACAAGATGCTGCCTAAGCTTCACTCTGAGTATGAATCATCTACTTGTTAAGATGCAGGTCTGCTGGGTCCTGTGGCACTGGCCTGTAGTCCCAGCTATTCTGAGGTTGAGATAGTAGGATTGGTCACTTGAGCACAGGAGTTCTACTTCTGACAACACATAAAATAGTTAATCAATTAGATAAATATTAAGCAGATTGATTCTATGAATTTGGGACTGGGCCTGAGATTCTGCATTTTTAACAAGCTCCCAGGTGATGGCCATCCTCTTGGTCTGAGTGCCACACTCCTGAATAACAAGGTGTTTGGACTTTATTTTACAGGCAGTGAGGAGCCATGAAAAACTTTGTTTTGTTTTGTTTCAGCTTTTAATCCAAGTCATTCCAGCCCATGGTTATAGAAGGATTTACAATGAAAAGACAACTACCACCAGCTGAAATGGCCCATGCCTGTAATCTCAGCAATTCCAGAGACTGAGGTAGGAGGATCTCCAATTTGAGGACAGCTACAGCAATTTTAGGAAGACCTTCAGCAACTTAGTGAGAGGTCCTGACTCAAAATAAATAAATAAATAAATAAATAGCTTTGCCCTGCCTGCCCCTTCCCATCTCTTTTCCCATTTCTCAGAGGCAACCGCTTTCTTTTTTCTTTTTTTTCCTGGTGCTTACACCACCCATAATTCTAAGTATCAGACTTATACCACTACTTAATTTTAAACACGGTCTACTGACTTCCTATTAAGATAAATATGAATGCTAGGAGTGGTGGTGCAGCCCTATAATCATAGCTATTCCAGAGGCTGAGGCAGGAGAATCACAAGTTCAAGAGCAGCCTTAGCACTTTAGCAAGACCATCTTCCTAGTCTCAGTAACTTAGTGAGACCTTGTCTCAAAATGAAAAGGGTAGAGATGTGGCTCAGTGGTAAGCACCCCAGGGCTCAATCCCCAGTACCAGAGGAAAAAAAGAAATAAATTTGAGTATGTGGATTTAATTCTACTTTCCTTCTGACACTGGCACTATTTTTTTCATCATTTCTAGTTTATCTAATGGATATCTTTGTAATTTTAAATAACATATTTTTCCTTAGTATTTTTTTTTATCTATGAAAGGTTTTAAGCAAAAGATAGAATATTTGCCTTTTTGAAAAATTTCTCTGGATTTTGCAAGAAGAAAAGATTGGAGTGGTAAAAATCTGGAGTCAAGAACTAGTTGGAAGACAAGAAACTAACCACCTGGACCAGGGTCTGGTTGTGAAGCTGGAGAAGAATTGAACCAGAATAGAGAACTCTTTAGGAGATAAGACTGACCAGACTAAGTGACTGATTACATTTATTTATTTAGTACTGGGGCACCCAGAGCCTGCCACAAAATGGGCAAGTGATCTAATATAGAGCTACATCCCCAGACCACACACCCACACACCCACCTTTTGATAGGATCTCACTAAATTGCACAAACCAGCCTTGAACTTGCCATCCTCCTGCCTGAATAGCTGGGATTACAAGTGTGCACCACCACACCCAGTTTAAGGACATTTTAAAAATATTAATAAAATGTGTTGGGTTTTCTTATATTTTAATACATACTTGTTAGGAAAAATCACCTATTGCCTCAACTCCTAAAACAAGCACTGTTAATATTTTGGAGGTACCATACCAATATGCAGGAGGCAGATGGAACAGGGAGAACTAAAAAAAATATATCTGGTGTTCTGGTTTCTGTCTGCTTTCAATTCATTCTCCATAAAACAGTAAAGGTTCTCTTAAAAGATAAATCAGATTCTCTGACTCTCTTGCCTAAAATGGTTCCATGGTTTCTCAATCACTTCAAACAAGTATCAACAGCACCTAGAATCTTGTTAGAAATGCAAAAATATGCCGGTCTGGTAGGGCAACCTGCACTCTCCTAGCACATGTGAGGCACTGGATTCGATCCTCAGCACCACATAAATAAATAAACAAATAAATAAAGTAAAAGTTAAAAAAAAAATCTCAACCTATCCCAGGGTGAACCTAAAACTATAGGGATGAGAGAGAAACTAATTTTCTGTGTTTTAACAAACCCTCTAAGTGATTCTTTTTTTTTCTTTTAGTTGTTGATGGATCTTTATTTTATTTATTTGTTATATGTGGTGCTGAGACTCAAACCCAGTGCCTCACACATGCTAGGCAAGTGTGCTACCACTGAGCCACAACCCCAGGCCCCCTCTAAGTGACTCTGATGCAAGCTGAAGTTTGAGAACCACTGTGTTAAACTAAGTATTTTATGTATATTATCTCTAAGTTCACAACTCTATATTACTATAGCCAGTATGGTGCAGTAGTTAAGAACAGAATCCAGAGCTAGACCGCCTGGGTTTCAATTCCAGCTCTCCTAATTTTGTGAAACTGGGCTTCATTTTCTTAACCTAAGATGGGGGAAGTAATAGTGCCCACCTCATGAGTTGTGGAATTGAACGAGTTAATATAAGTAAAGTGCTCAGAACAGTAGTAGAACCTGGGTTTTAATCCCTCTTTGCTCCAAAGGCTGTGCATGCCCTAGGCCTGGGTAATAGCCTTGCCCAGAAAGGGCTCGGGCGGATGAGCAGCGTGCGATCCCGTAGAACCCCCCTAACCCTGGAGTGCAGAGTTATCTGGTCTAAGGTGCAGGGACTCGCACAGGAATCAGGTGCCCTCGGCAAGGCCGGGTGCGGGCTGCTCTGGGCCAGCAGCCCACTGGCTCGCGGGATTGCGGAGCTGCGAACGAGGGTCTGAGCATCAGCCCTCCTCGCAGGCTGCAGACGCCCGGCTGCGGCCACCGCCCTAAGCACCGCCCGCCGCCCTCTCACCCCGCGGCGGCGTCCGCGGCGGCGGCGGAAGCGGGGGGGCGGGCCGGCCGGGCCGGGGCGGGGCCGGGCCGCGAGCGGCATGGAGGAGGCGGAGGCCGCGGTGAGCGGGGCTGAGCCGTGCGGGCCCGAAGGGCGCCCGAGCGGGGCCCGGGGCCCCTGAGCGGTGAGTGCCTCTAGGCTGGGGTCCAGGAGGGGTGACGCGGCCAGGGCAGGTCTCCCTAGCCTTCGGGCCTCCCTGATCCCTGGGAGGAGAAGAACCGGGCCAGATAGAATGGGACGAGGGTGGAGGATTGGGGCGGGGAAAGTCGCTGTTCTTTGCCCACCAGAGGATTGGGAAGGACTTTTAGAGGCTGATGAACCTTTAGAGTCAATTATTTGGCCTCTACCCCTGGAGCCTTGAGCAGTCCTGACTCAGATAGTTCCCCCAGCCCCAGGAAATTTCCAGGTGATCCAAACCCTCTGAATGTTTTCCTGCCAGGCCCAGAGAAGTTGAGCCACTTTCCCCAGGTCACACAGCATGGATGTTTGCAGGGAGGAGTTGCTGGGAGATCCTCATTTCTCCAGGAGGCATCAGACTTTTGGGAGGAGCACCTTACTCCATGTGACCCTTACTCCATGTGACCCTCTGGTCCCCTCAGATTCCTGAAGTCATGGATTGGCCGGGACAGTGGTGACTCCCAAATCCGGTATGGATGACTGGAAGCCCAGCCCCCTCATCAAGCCCTTTGGGGCTAGGAAGAAGCGAAGCTGGTATCTTACCTGGAAGTATAAACTGACAAATCAGCGGACCCTGCGGAGATTTTGTCAGGTAAAGAGATGTCCCAAATGTTCCTCCCAGGTTTACCCTAGCCTGGACTATTATACTTCATCATAGCCACCTCCAACCAGAAAGGAGCAGCAAGTTCATAGAGGGGAAACCTCTATGTGTCATGCCCCTACCAGCAGTGGTTTAGACCTAGAGTTCTGGAATTGGAACCCAAATCCAACCTTCTAGGCTTCTGACAGAAACCTGAAATCTGATCAGGAAGGCTTTGTCCAGGGACATATATATACCTGTCAAGAAGTTAGGGCTAGGATCACGGTGTCTTGATTTCCAACTTGGTTCTCTGGGCCTGACTCCATCTCCAGGAACTAATTGTGGAGGGGACCAAGGAAATCAAGACCTCAAATGGAGGAATACAAGAACACTGGGTAGGGAGGGCCTTGACAAGGGGAAAGAGTCAGGTGAGGTTTCCTGGAGGAGGTGGCAATGAAACCAGGCTCTGGTCCAGAGAGACGAGTAGGCAGAGGAAGAGAAGGATCCCAGGTTCTAACTGTGTCCTCACTGCTGCCAAGGCCTTCCTTTCAGGAAGACCCTATATGATCTGGAGGAGATGTGCCTCACTCATCCCGCCTCTCCCTCAGACAGGGGCCGTGCTTTTCCTGCTGGTGACTGTCATTGTCAACATCAAGTTGATCTTGGACACTCGGCGAGCAATCAGCGAAGCTAGTGAAGACCTGGAGCCAGAGCAAGACTATGGTGGGGCCAGGCTGAGGGTGGGGAAGGGGGGACCCCTGGGATCTCAGGGCAAGAGTGGCAGGCAGATCCCAAGGGGGAGACTATGCCCATGACTTGTTGCACCCCCATAGATGATACCCTCGGCCGCCTGGAGCCCCCACGGCGCAGAGGCAGTGGACCCCGGCGAGTCCTGGATGTGGAGGTGTACTCAAGCCGCAGCAAAGTATATGTGGCAGTGGATGGCACCACAGTAAGTGGGCCTGGGTCTGGTGTACAGTCACTCCATTCCAGGGCAAGGTCCACTGGCTGTGGGGTCCACTGCCTGAGTGGGAATTGCAGTTCCACCAATTTCTTGCTGTGACTTTGGAACTCCTAGTTCCTTATCTGTAGGCTGAAACCAATGATTTCTACTTGTCAGGATTAAACGAAAAGTAATGTGAAATGTCTTATATGTACCAAGATCTCAAAAGTGATAATTAGTATTAGTAGGCAGTTAATTCACTGATTGATTAATTAATTTTTTGATTGATTTGGGGTGGGAGTACCAGGGATTGAACCCAGGGGCACTCTGCCACTGAACTACATCCTCAGTCCTTTCTATTTTTTGTTTTGAGACAAAGTCTCACTAAGTTGGTTAGGGCCTCACTAAAGTGCTAAGGCTGGTGTCAAACTCTCAATCTTCCTTCCTTGGCCTCCCAAGTCCTGTGATTATAGGCATGTGCCACTATGTCTTCTTGATTTATTATTTTATAACCACTTCTTGTTTCCTCCTTTGGTCTTAGCCTTGGGCTAGGTACTGGGGATCTGCCATACCTTGAGGGTCCCAGTCTGATGGAGGATTACAGTATCTCCAGAATTTAAGTAGAGAGCCATTGAAGTGATGAGAGAGGGGTTGTAGAAAGATGTGATCTTGTCTTTTTTTTGTTTGTTTGTTTATTACTGGGCATTAAACCCAGGGGGGGTGCTTAACCACTGAGCCACAGCCCTTTTTATTTGTTTAGGGTCTTACTAAGTTACTGAGACAGGGTTTGAACATGTAATCCTTCTCCCTCCATCTTCCAAGTTGCTGGGATTACAGGTGTGTGCCACTGTACCCAGCTGTGATCGCTTCTGATGGGAGTACTAGGAGGCTTTCTGGAAGAGGCAGCCTTCAAGCTGAGTTAATATTATAAACAGTGGCATAAGCAGGAGGGGAGGTTTTGTGCAGCTGGTGTTTTAAGTACCCATAAGACAGAGTGAATGTCAGAGTGATGAGTTGGACTTTGTCTCTGTCACCATGTAGGTTCTGGAGGATGAGGCCCGGGAGCAGGGCCGGGGCATCCATGTCATCGTCCTCAACCAGGCCACGGTGAGATTCTAAGGGTGGGGACCCAGAGGACTAAAGCTGAGTTCTCCTTGCTGGTGACACTTACTCATGAGAGGTATGTCCCTTGCCAGGGCCATGTGATGGCAAAACGTGTGTTTGACACATACTCACCTCATGAGGATGAGGCCATGGTGCTGTTCCTCAACATGGTGGCGCCCGGCCGAGTGCTCATCTGCACCGTCAAGGTCAGTGATTTTGCCAGGGACCCTGTTCCCTATGTCCTGTTCCCTACATATGGCCCTGAAGTCTCTCTGCCCATGATAGAGCATTGTGGGAAGAACCTCTGAAGATAGGTGACTCATGTTCCAATCCTTTCCTTGACACTTTTATTAGTTCAGCACACAGTTTGTTTTGTTTTGTTTAAAAAAAAAAATATATATATATATATATATATATATATATACACACATATATATATAAATATTTTTTTAGATGTCAATGGATCTTTATTTGTATTTATTTGTATGCGGTGCTGAGAATCAAACCCAGTGCCTCACACATGCTAGGCAAGTGCTCTACCACTGAGCCACAACCCCAGCCCTCAGCACACAGGTTTTAAGCACCTACTGTGTGCTAGGCATTGCTCTGAGTGCTGAAGATAAAATGGGAAATAAGCCAGAGTCCTTACCCCATGGAGTTTATATTCTAGTGGGATGAGATCAACAAAAACCAACCAAATAAATGAAGGAGAAAACAGACAGAATGGTGGGGTTACATTTTAAAAAGGGAGGGCCCCTGTCGGGAGATGATAGGTGAGCAGAGGACTGGAGAAAGAGAGGAGTGAGCCCGGTGAATGTCTGGAAGAAGAACATTTAGGTAGAAAGAGTGGCAAGGACAAAGGCCCCGGTGTGGGGAAGTGCCTGGCAAGGTTGAAGAATAGCAAAGGAGCCGGTGGAGCTGGAGCAGACCAAGGGAAGAGGAAAGAAGTGGGAGAGAGGGCAGAGAGGTGGCAGGGGACAGATTGTATAGGATTATGGTGAGGATTTATTATCTAGGTGACCTTAGATGATTCTCAACTCTCTCTAAGCCCTCAGTGCTCTTTTTTCTTTTTTCCTTTTGAAAAGGGGCCTTCCCATGTTGCCTAAGCTAGACTTGAACTTCTGGGCTCAGGTGATCCTTCTGCCTCAGCCTCCAAAGTAGATGGGCTAACAGGCATGTGCCACTACCTCACTTAGCTTCAATTTTCTTATCTGTGAAAGATAGTGACCATAGAGGGTTGTTGTGATGACTTAATGAGCTAATTTAAGTAAAAGGTTTTACATAGTACTTGATATGTAATTGGTGCTGTGAGGCCAGGTCTCCTGGAACTGTACCAGTCAGGCCCTCCACATTTTCTGATCCCCCAGGATGAGGGCTCCTTCCACCTCAAAGACACAGCCAAGGCTCTGCTGAGGAGCCTGGGTAGCCAGGCTGGCCCTGCCCTTGGATGGAGAGACACCTGGGCCTTCGTGGGACGAAAAGGAGGTGCTGGCACCAAAAGCTATCCACCTTGTAGTAGTATCAAGGGAGAAACAAAAGCCCCAGGAGATGGGGTGGGATGGGATGGGGACATATAGGAACAGTTGACAGTGTGTTGGATCAAAGTGGACAGGGAGATGGGAAAAAGCCCCAAACTGGAGTCTGGACTCCCATTACCCTTCATTCATGAACCTTGCCAGGTCCCGTCCTTGGGGAGAAACATTCTAAGTCGCCTGCCCTCTCCTCCTGGGGAGACCCAGTCCTGCTGAAGACAGATGTGCCACTGAGCTCAGCTGAAGGTAGGGTTAGTGGGAGCTGGGCTCTGGAGTGTCTGGGCAGGGGGTTGGCATTGGGATTCTCTTTATGGGACTTTATCCCATGATTGTGTGCCTGGGGCTCTTTATGTTGGCTTTATGTGTCCATCCTGTCAACCCCATCCCTTCCTCAGAGGCAGAGTGTCACTGGGCTGACACAGAGATGAACCGCCGCCGCAGGCGCTTCTGCAGCAAAGTTGAGGGATATGGGAGTGTGTGCAGCTGCAAGGACCCCACACCCATTGAGTTCAGCCCTGACCTGGTGAGCGGGCATTGGGCGATGAGATTTGGAATTCTTCCTGCCAGCTTGGACTTTCTCTACCCCAGTTTGGGAGGGAACCAGGCTGAGCTCTGAAAGACAGGGTGGGGAAAAACGGATGAGCCATATGAGCAAGGCCCAGGGTTGGCGTTGGGCTCAGTGTATGGGGAGGCCAGAACAAGAAAGACCCTCTGTCTCTTCCTTGTTGCTCTGAGTCTCCCACCTCACTGAGAACTCTTCCATAAGTTGGGATCCCAGTTTGAAGGAGCACTAAAGCAAAAGCTAAAAGCTGTTTCTTAACACAGCTCCCAGACAATAAAGTCCTCAATGTACCTGTGGCTGTCATTGCAGGAAACCGACCTAATTACCTGTACAGGTGAGCCTGGGAGTGGGCTATACCCACCACTGAACAGGAAGATGCTTAGCAAGTGGGAGGGTGCTTAGCTCATCTTCCTGCAGGAAGAACCCTTGAAGTGGGCATTTACCTATGTGGGTGAGCATGGGGAATTAGGGTCCATTTATAAATAGGGTCCCCTGAGTTCAGAAGACAGAGAAGCCCTAACCCATCCCTGGACTCCCCAGGATGCTGCGCTCTCTACTCTCAGCCCAGGGGGTGTCTCCACAGATGATAACAGTTTTCATCGATGGCTACTATGAGGTGAGTAGGGCATGGGGGAGCCTTCAGCAGAGCCAGCACAGGGCTGTAGGCCCTGAGCAGAGTGATTGCTAAGGACTGCTAAGGGCAGCAGTTCAGGCAAGGGCTGTAAAATATAAAGGGCTTGGCTTATTATGGTCCCTAGAGATGGGCATGGGGAAGTGGCCTCACATGAAACCAGTGGCCATGTCCCCCAGGAACCAATGGATGTGGTGGCGCTGTTTGGTCTGAGGGGCATCCAGCATACTCCCATCAGCATCAAGAATGCCCGCGTGTCTCAGGTACTACTTAGGCAAGGATGGAAGGGGGGATAGGCGCTAGTCCTGCCCTCCACCCCAAAGTTCATGTGACCTATTCCCACTCTCCATCCAGCACTACAAGGCCAGTCTCACTGCCACTTTCAACCTGTTCCCGGTGAGTACTAAGGATACAACTCTTGGGCCTGGGGAAAGGGTACATGAACATAAGTCTAGTCCTATCATATAGCAATTGCTTCCCCTCACCAAGCCTTATCTTCCTGATTTGGAAAACAAGAGTAGTGGTACCTAAGAAATGGGGTGGGGGAGGAAACTACAGGATGGGAGATGCTTCCTTGGGATCATGTTTCCCTACCCCTGCAGGAGGCCAAGTTTGCTGTGGTTCTGGAAGAGGACCTGGACATTGCTGTGGATTTCTTCAGGTAAGGGAGATGGCCCACCATTGTAGCATCTGTAAGCCATATGGAGGAGCCTTTTACTTGATGGGGTTTCCAGAGAAGTCAATAAGTTGTCTTGGAGAGCTTTCTGGAGAGTGAGCTAAAAGTGGGAGAAAAGCCTAAGCAAAGTCAGGAGTTGGGGCTGGAGTATAAAGGATAAATGTTGACAGTGGGGATTTGGGGAGGACACCTGGCTCCTGAGTCCCAGTTGTAGCTCTTCCAGCATTACTGTATTACCCTTCTCTGAACTCTTGATACTGGCTCTCTCAGTTTCCTGAGCCAGTCCATCCATCTGCTAGAGGAAGATGACAGCCTATACTGCATCTCTGCCTGGAATGACCAGGTAAGCTGTGTGACTAGGGGTTAGCAGGGAAGTCTGTAGAGACCCAGAGCTAATACCTCCCTCCCACAATGATCCCCTGTCCTCAGGGGTATGAACACACAGCTGAGGACCCAGCACTGCTGTACCGTGTGGAAACCATGCCTGGGTTGGGCTGGGTGCTCAGAAAGTCCTTGTACAAGGAGGAACTCGAGCCCAAGTGGCCCACTCCAGAAAAGGTACCTGGGAAGGCAGGGTGAGTGGGCTGGAGTTCCCTACCAGCCAAAACTTCTGACCTTCATAATCTTCCACATATCCCCAGCTCTGGGACTGGGACATGTGGATGCGGATGCCTGAACAGCGCAGGGGCCGAGAGTGCATCATCCCTGATGTTTCCCGATCCTACCACTTTGGCATCGTGGGCCTCAACATGAATGGCTACTTCCATGTGAGTGGGATGCAGGAGTATAGGGCACAGTATGGCATGGTGGTCCAGGACATGGACTATGGAGTATTCTACCTTTGCATGTCACTTTAGGGAAATTACTATCCTGTTTTTTTGCTTCTGTTTATATGTAAAGTGAGATTAAAAATACTTATAGGGTCACAAGGTTTAAATGAGTTCATGTATGTAAAATGCTTTGAGCTGTAAGCATTAGATAAGGGTTAACTGGTATTATTACTATTCTTATCACTAGTCTGGGGGTGGGAGGAAGGTATTTCTGCCTCCAAACACTGGTCCAGACCTGTAAGTTTTGTCCTCTCCTATCCTTTCAAGAGGTAGGATTCATTCCACAGGGACATCCCCAGACCCCCACATCCAACCTGTCTGTGCTGAAGGCCACCCCCCAGTGAGAGGGCCCTTGAGATAGCCCAATTCAAAGGAATGGAATCAGTTTGGAACCTCCTAGAAGCCAGGAAGACCTCCAGAAGCTAGTTAATATGAAAGCCTTACTCATCTCCCAGAGTGGGGTAGGCACTTTCCTTAGGTCACTCTCAGTAGAGTCATAGCAATTTCTTCCTTCTCAGCCCAGTCTGTCCCTTTGTCACCAACTCTTGCAGGGCTTGTTCCTGGCTTCTTTGGTTCTAGCATAGCAGGCCCAGGGACAGCCATGAGAACAGGAACTAACTCATTTACTAGCATGAGCTGCCTTGTCAGCATGAGCTCTCCAACAATGGTGGAGCCCAAATTAAAGTAGTTAGAGCTTGCCAAGGATGCTGCAAAGAGTCGGGAGGAACTCAGAGGGCCCTTTCCAGACCTAGGACTTCATGTGTGGGTCTTGTAGATCTGTGGTGGGTCAGTGAGCAGTTGTAGGCCAGACATTGTGAGGCCCTGATTTTCACCCTCACACCCACTCCAGGAGGCCTACTTCAAGAAGCACAAGTTCAACACGGTTCCTGGTGTCCAGCTTCGGAATGTGGACAGGTGGGGGCTGGCAGCAGGACAAGGGGAAGATCTAGGAGACCTGATGACTTGTCCTTGGTCCCTTCCAGACCTAGGACCTGTGTATTTATCCCAGTCCTGCTGCCTCCTTTGCTCATGTGACCCCTTGCCCTGCCTATTGCTATACCCATGGGACCTGAGGACCTGCTCCCCTCCTCCCTTGACACATTTCTCCCTCCTCTCCAGTTTGAAGAAAGATGCTTATGAAGTGGAAATTCACAGGTTACTCAGGTATGACCCTGGGCAATTGGCACGTTTGGCTGGGGTAAGGAGTTAAATACTGGGATTTTAGGCTCCATTATGTGTGGGTCTCTATGCAAAATGAAAATCAGCGTCCCTAGTTGTTATTAAGAATTTCAGGGGCTGGGGATGTGACTCAAGCGGTAGCACACTCGCCTGGCATGCGTGCGGCCCGGGTTTGATCCTCAGCACCACATACAAGCAAAGATGTTGTGTCCGCTGAAAACTAAAATAAATATCAAAAAACTCTCTAAAAAAAAATTTTTTTTCAAGATAACAACAGCAGAGCATTAAACTAAGCCCAGGACCCAGTGAGACATACCCCAAAGCATGCTCTGCCTTGGCCTTACCTTTGCACCCTCCACTGCAGTGAGGCTGAAGTTCTGGACCACAGCAAGAACCCTTGTGAAGACTCCTTCCTGCCAGACACAGAGGGCCACACTTATGTGGCTTTTATCCGAATGGAGAAAGAGGATGACTTCACCACCTGGACCCAGCTTGCCAAGGTGCCCTAACACTACACTTTCCCCCAACCCATGCTCCAAGATTCAGGGAGCCTTTGTTCTGGAGACTTCAATCTCAGGACCTTTTCCATTCTCTCAGAACCTCTCTTCCATCCCCTTGTCCAAATTCATGGTCCAGAAGATGCCACCTCTTGCAGATTGAGGTGGCTGCTGGGTCCTCAGTGGCCCTTCAGCTCCTTGAACCATGTTTCTCCCTTCCCCCTCTGCTAGTGCCTCCATATCTGGGACCTGGATGTACGTGGCAACCACCGGGGTCTATGGAGATTATTTCGGAAGAAGAACCACTTCCTGGTGGTGGGGGTCCCAGCCTCCCCTTACTCGTGAGTGACCCTGTTTTATCTTGGGAAATGGGGGCTTAATGGGATTGAGGGACATTGCTCTTCTCTATGTATAATTCTTTTATTATTCCAGAGTGAAGAAGCCACCATCAGTCACCCCAATTTTCCTGGAGCCACCCCCAAAGGAGGAGGGAGCCCCAGGAGCCGCTGAACAGACATGAGACCTCCAGGACCCTGCAGGGCTGGGTACTGTGTACCCCCAGGCAGGCTAGCCCTTCACCCCATCCTTTAGGATTTTGTAGATGCTGGTAGGGGCTGGGGCTGGTTTGTTTTTAACATGAGACTTAATTACTAACTTGAAGGGGAGGGTTCCCCTGTTGTTGAGTTTAAGGTCTATTTATTTACTTCCTTGTCAGAGAAGGGCAGGACAGTACCTGGGAATCTTTGGGATCCCTGGGAAGCTGATCTTTCCCCTTGTACGTCCCCTCCTCCCAGGCCTGGCTCAGAATCTAACCTATTTATTGACTGCCCTGGAAGCCTTGGAAATAGGCCAGAACTGTAGGGCTTTGATTCCTTTTGGGGCAGAAATACTGCCCTGAGGGTGGGACTGGCTCTTACTCAGGAAATTGCTGTGCCCAACCCATGAACAGGCCCAGGTAGGGTCCATATGCTGACACAGAATCGCTCAGAGACCCTCTGACACTGAACCAGGCCTCCTCTCAGCTTCCTCTTTGTCCAGGTTTCTGAAGCTGGATAAGGTGATCATTGATTAAAAAAGGAGAAAACCTGTGGGAAAGTGTCGTGTATATGTTGGGAGTGCATAGAGAGGCAGAGAGGTGAGGGAGAGAATCATCTGAATGGATGATAGGTTTGCCTACTGTATTTCACAGGATTTATCTTCCATTTGGGCCCATTTGGCCACCAGGGGAGGCCCAAGTTTCAAATTCCAAGATTTCTCCCCAGGCTCCACCCTAGGACAGCCTGATTTCAGCCCCACCCTAATTGGAGCTGAGCTTCAAGCAGTCATCCCACACCCCTTCCCCACTGTTTACCAGGCTATTCCTACTTTGGCTGTATGGGTCCTGCACCTGTCCCCAGAGATGGAGCAGCAGAAAAAGGGATGGGGGGGAGGGATGGGAGAGCAGGTGAACATAGTGGGGGTAGGAAGGAAGTGATTGAGACAGGAACCGTGAATGGCAGTCACTGGGGCCTGAAGAGGTGATTTCGTGGGAGGATCCTAGGCAGGCATCAGTCAGGGGGCTAAGACTGGGTTGTAGACAGGCGTGGGAGCAAAGGTGTCTGGTCTTAGGGTACTTTGTATGAATAATGTCATGTTGGTATTTTTCTGGAGAAGAGGGTGATAGTTTTCATCAGATTCTTACTCAGCCAGCCAGTGACAAAGAGCAGGAAGATCTAAGTTAGACAGTCTCCAGGAAACAGGTGGGATTGTCCAGAGGGAGTATGTGATAGTCCAAGGCAAGGGGACTTGACATTTAAAGGATCTATGAAGGGCTTAGGATCAGGATCTGAGTGTAGGACACCTCTTGAGAAAGGGTCTGCCTGTTATAGAGCCTTGGCCAGGAAGGCAGGAACTTATTGGAACTCTTGCTCTTGTTCTCTGTCCTGCCTCTCTACCGGTGCCTGGAGCCCAGCTCAGCAATGATACCATTTAGATAGCTTGGACATATCTCGCCATCCTGACGCCTTCAGTGTTTGCTGGAGCTAGAGATAGTATATGATGTATCAAAACAGTCAGGTTGAGGGGCAATTAGCCTGTGATGAGGTAGAGGCTCGCCCTGGGCAAACAAATCTTCTGCAGCTTCCTCACAGGATACGTGGGGGAGGGGTAGTATATGAGAGAGACTGTAGGGTGGTGGGGTGGTAAAGGGCTAAGGTATGCTAATTCCTCTCTCTGCCTAGCACACTAGCAGGCTTTAGGTCTGGCTTCACAGACCATACCTCAGGCATTATGGCTCTGGCTGGGTTGCTGTTCCTTTCTGGTTTTGACAAGGGGGTAGTAAATCTGGGGTGCCCTGGAAAAGCCTAGGGAGATAGATAAAAACATCTAAGGAAAGCAAAGAAGGAGTTTAATGGGGTCGGGCTTTTCTTGGTAGCAAACACTGTCTTCCTGTCAGCGCTTACCTCCTTTATGTGTGTGTGTGTGTGTGTGTGTGTGTGTGTGTAGAGAGAGAGAGAGAAAACAAGAAAGACACCCCCAATCACCACCATCCCCCCTAGTACCAAGGATTGAACCCAGGGGCACTTAATCACTGAGCCTCATCCCCAGCCCTTTTTAAATATTTTATTTAGAAACATGGTCTCACTAAGTTGCTAAGGGCCTTGCTAAATTGCTGAGGCTGGCTTTGAACCCCCAATATTCCTGCCTTAGCCTCCTGAGCCACTGGGATTATAGGCATGTGCCACTGTGCCCAGTTAGCCTTCTTCCTTTGTGATGTCATGCCTTATTCAGCAATATTCAGGAACATTCTGGTCAGGTGCTACTTCAAGTAAAACTACCATCATGTCAAACAGGACCACACCAGGCTCTAAAGTCAGTCAAAGTCCAAGTCCAGACTCATCTCTTCACTAAAGCTGTGGGACTTGGGCAAGTCACTTGGCCTTTTTAAGTCCTGGTTTCCTTACCTGGGTCATAGGGATGGTTAAGACTAAATAAGAGATCAGGTCTGCTGGGCAGGCGTGGTGGTACACACTTGTAATTCCAGTGACTTGGGAGACCGAGGCAGAAGGATAGCAATTCAAGGTCAGTCTTGGCAAATGGGTGAGACCTTGACTCTAGATGGATAGATAGGGGATTTAGCTCAGTAGTAGAGTGTTCTGGGGTTTCCTCCCCAATGCTGGGTGGGAGGTGGTGGGGGACTACTTTCTAAGATCCCCAAAGCTGGAACAAATCTAGGACTTTGCCTAAGTGAGAAGGCAGCTTGGACCCTCTGATGGGCACTACTGGAGGGCTTCCCAGAGTCTAAGGAGTGACTTTCCCATTGCCCTGGTAACAATTCTGTTCTCCCTTGACTGGGCACAAGGTTATTTTCATAGCTTTCCAGTCCAGTGCCCCCACCCAGCAGGGGAAAATTTCAGGCCAAAGTCCTACCCCATTCTAGGAAGGCAGACTGGCCCAGCTCTCACTTCCTCACTGCCCTTTTACCTATCCCTCTTGGGCTCCCTCCCAGGCCTGGAACCTAACTCTCCCCCACTTCCCTTCTACAGTTTTTCCAAGGGCTTCTGAGTTGCCAGCCCCACTGGAATCTGAAGGAGGTTTAGGCAAGCTGAATCCCTCTCCCCAAGGATACACAGAGTCCAAATAGAAACATTTTAATTGGTGTTTCAGTTTTGAAGTGCCTTGTACACATCCTGCTGACTCTTAATATGCCCAGGCTATGGGTCCCTTTCTCTCATCCTCCGGTGGAGACTGGGATCATCAAAAGCCCCCATTAGCCTAAGGGGGTATTAAGGCTGGAAGAAACAGACTGAGGAAATAGAAGAATTGGCTACCTTAAAGGCTCTGGAACAGGTGGGTCCCAACCTAAAAGGGGTGGTTTTCTATTTAGCCCCAAGTTCAGAGCAGCAAGGGCAGGCCCACTCCAGCCCCAGTGACACTGTTAGTGCCATGGTGCCTTTTCCCAGTTCCCATGTGGCAACAGCAATGGCGGAGGCAGAAGTGGACTTATTTCAGATGGCAGTACAGGTACATGGATACAATCATGGCAGCCAGCTGGTGGGAAAGGAACAGGGAGAGATGAGGGATATGATTGAGATCCTCAAGCATTGGTCCCTTGCGCCCCAGACAGCCTACATGAAGCTCTGTTGGAAGTCTGTCTCCTGGGCTGGATATAGCTCACTGGTAGAGCATGTGCTTAGTACACACAGAACCCTGGGTTCAATTCCCAGCATGTGGGGTAGGGGGGATGTCTGTCTCTTCTGAGAGGCCTCAGAGATGAGTCAAGCAGCCCAGGTATGGTGGTGGTCAGTTCCCCAGCCCCAGCCTCCTTGTTGCCTTACCTCCAGGGCCCCAATTCCAAAGGCCACACCACCCACAGTGACTGCATTGGTTCGAATGTCATGCAGAAGCTGTTTGAAGCAACCCTTGGGAAAGGGGAGAGAGCATTTATAGTTGGCAGCTACCCTACCCCTCATCCCTATTTGCTACTCTGAGGCCATTAAAGCAGCCCCCGCCCTTCCATGCCCCTCACCTGTACAGAGTTTTTGTGGGCCTCATACATGGTACAAGGTTCTTCGGCTGTTCTGTTGATATTGTTGATACAACAGTATGGAGGAAAGAGTTGGTTTTCTTTGAAGTAGGGTGAGTCCTCAAAATCCGTGTAGTTGTTGAAGCCACAACACTTGAGCTGGAAGCAGGGTGGGGTAGGTGTTTGGTGGGGCCTTGATTCTTTATCTCCACCCCCAAAATCCCCCCAGTCTGCCTTACCCCTTCCATGGTATAGTTCCACACTTGGGTGAAGTCTTTCTGGGAACCATAGTCTTTCTTGATGGCAGGTACTACCACCATTTTCAGGAATTCCTCAGCCTAGGTAGAGCAGGCCAATGTTGAGGGACTGGGAGGGAAGGTGGCCATGTACAAGGCCACAGCCCACTCCCAGGGCTTTGCCCAGTCTTCCTCCCTTACCCATTTCAGTGCCTCACCATTGTGGTGTACACCAAGGCAACCACAGCAGCTGCAATCTCAGCAACAAAGATGAGGAGGAGGATGAAGAAGAACTGAGTGGGGAACAGGGGTCTGAGTTTTAGGGAGAGATGGGCCCTCATGCTCTCTTTGCCCTAACCCACCCTCCTACTGTAAAAACATGGCAGGGATCCCCTATATTGGAAATCCCTGGAGTACAAAGTAGGATTTGGGGATCCCAAGGTGAGGGGGTCCTTGGTCATAGACCTGTGGAACTGGGTCTGACACACCGTCATGAGTGCACACTTGTTCTCAGACTTAGCACCGTAGCAGCCCAGGAAACCAAGAACAAAGAGCACAGCTCCAGCTGCGATGAGGAAGTAGCCCACGTTGATAAACTGCATGGCACTGGATGACATCGGCCCAAAGATCTTCACGAAGGATGGCCCATCAACCGACACCCAAATGCCCACAGCCAACAGGGCAGCACCACACAGCTGGGGACAGAGAAGTCAGGCAGGCATTAAAACAATGCTGGCAAATAGCTCCCTATCATATGGTTGAGTCAGGAGGATGTCTCCCACTTCCTTGGCTGGGGAATCATGTGGGGAGGGAAACATCCTCTAGTGCCAGAAAGATGGGATTTGGGAAACCCATAGCCAGCACCAGACTGCACACTTGAGTACAAATGAGATCAGGAGCACTAGAAATACCCACAGGGTCAGGGAAGAGAGAAGACTTTCCCTTACTGATGCTAGGGTCCTGCCACATATCTAAGAGTGAAAACAAGCAGGTGAGGGCCGGATCTCTCATTTCTTTTCTGGGCTACCAGCACCTAAAACACCTCTGTCCTCTAATAGGTGGAAACAGGGGTGGTAGCTGTGAGCAGGCTCAATAGTCACCATAGTAACAGAGGCGGGGCTGAAGTTTGCACCTGCTCCCTACTTTGAAGAGGGTGGAGCTTGAAAGGGTTCACCCACCCTGAAGTCTCATTTGGCTCCCTTCTGGGATCAGACACCAGACCTTCTCTTTATCCACAGAGTCCCCCTTGCCTTACAAATAGAAATTGGGACACCCGAGGGGGAAATCAGCCTGAGCTTCTCTTAAAGGGCTCCAGCTCAACCCTAATCCTCATAGGGAATTCTAGGAG